CAATTTGTCTCCAAGTTATTATTAAGCCGCTCTCACTCGAGCCCCATTTCCATGATCCAGGCCTTCTCATCGGCCCGACTTGAAGACTCGAATGGAATCAGGAATGGTTTCCTTTTTTATTTGAAAGTGGGAATCGTGCATTTTGAGCGGCTCACAAATTGTTTCGAGGTGAACGGAGGTGGAGCTGATGGGTTTGGAGGCTTCTTGATCAACCCAAAAACTTTATCCCACTGTAGCAGCTTGCTTGAGCTTGTACTATTTTGTACACTTTCAGGTGTCTCTAGATCAGAGTGCAATGTGTACACAATTGAGTCAGGAATATGGATTCTTTTGAAGGAGGCTGCATATTCTTTTGAAGGAGGCTGGATGGGGAGGACTGAGAGAAATCTAGTTTCTGGAATCTTCACAATTCCAATATTTGAGTTCAATTGTTTTTTGTCTCCTCTAAACGGAGCACGATCCAGTTCAAGAAGATCGATTCTTCAGATCTTGCTCTGGGGGGCCTCAACTCAACCTTAATAATTCAAATCGCTGTAGCTCTGTATTTACCATTGATCACTTCTTTCCAAGGCATTCCTCCTTTTTTGCCCAACACACCAATCGTAATCGCTGGTTGAAAGCCAGCTGTTCATGTGTACTCTTTCACAGTTGATTGTATGTTGTACACCCTACCAATTCTCATTGTTATAACCTTTATCTTTTCCGTCTGGTGAGGAGAGTGCTGGATCTCGGGCGCGTGTGTACAAGAAAATAGAATGGATGAGTGAGAAGCAGGTCGAGTTGAGTTGTACAGCCATTCAACAGCTTTTTTTCCCTTGGTTATCACCAAATAGTACAATACATCTTCATCATATCTTCTATCCAAGAATTCCAAATACTTTAATTCTTTCCAATTTAACTCTCTCAACCGGAGCAGTGGCCATTGAAGCTATCCCATCCCCCCCAGACTTGCTCACAATCGAGAAGAGTTAGAGCACCCTGTCTATCCCCTCCTCTCCCAGCAGAGTCATCCTTAAGAACCCAGTTGAATTCCGGGATGTGTTCTTTCCATTTGCCTGTTCTTCAGCAGGAATCAACCGGACTCAACCCTCTGCGACTCAGATAAAGTTAGAACTCCTGCACGGATTGCTGACGAGTCTTTTGAGTTCTCTTTCCAAGGACACAATTCCAAACAACTGAACTTGCCATCTCGATTCTCCAACGGCAACCACTCTGCTCTCTTTCCCTCAGCTCTGTCGTGAGCAGTCTCTCGCCAAAGGAAGTTTGGTTTACAATAAAGAAGGACGGAAGAAGACGATTGTCTACCTATCATCTATCTCTCCACCGACCACTTGCTCAACCAACCAACTAACCAAACTAGAAAACCCTCCCAAGGGGCAACGGATACTTCATATCGAGTAAGAAAACACTAACCAACCAATAAGCTTGAAAGTCTGCCAATCACCTCAAAAAAAAAAAAAGAAAGAGATTGTTATAAAATCTAATTTGTCCTCTCTCTCTCTCCCTCCCTCTGTCCCCTACTGCGTACTCACAACAGCTCATCCAATTCGGGATCAACTCCTTATATAAACACTCAGCCTTACTACAAACACCCGCCCATCAGTCCAACTGCAACAAAAGAGAAACAATACATAAGATAACAAGATACCTAAAACATTCAAACTCCCACCTTGTAGCAAAGGCGAAAAAAATATATTCTTGTCATATTCTAACGCCCAATCAGTCCCTCGCCAAACTTCATCAATCCCCCCCCCCCCCTCCCCTCCCCTCCCTATTTTATACTGGAGATTTCATCATCCACATTAATTCCATCAGAGGAGATTGTTATCGTAAACCTTGTTCAAGCTCATCCCTAGCTTCAGAATTTAGCCGCCAGTCTCCCATCGTCTTTTCCTATTTATCTTAAAGCCCTTGCCTTCTCCAGTTTATCCTCTCCTTCACTTCCCATCACCGCCATCCATCCCTTCGTTCCTTTGAGTAGTACGCTTTCCTTCTTTCAAGAAAAAAAAAATACAAAATACAAAAATATATATACATCTTCGCTCCTTTGAATTAGTCTTAATAATTTCCATTCGAAAGAAGTAATGTTTTCGTCATCCTATCCGCATCCCCCACCACCACCAACAACATCAACACTGCCGTCGCAGACTGAACCACGTCATCATCAAGCGAACCAAACCAACCAACACCCAACAACTCAATCCCAGCCTCCGCAAGAAACGTCACATCCGCGGGTTCGCCAACAATCCATCAGCGCCACAGCCACCAGACATGTGCCCCATCAGCAGCATCCATCCACCATCCAGAGCACCCGCCAGCCAAGCACAAACACCCCAACATGCGCCAACTGTGGAACTAATGTGGGTGCGGTGTTAGAATGAATCTTGTTGAGATAGAGTTTGAAGAGAGCCAACCAAGACTGAGGATGATGCTGATGATTGATTAATGGCTTGTTTGTTGTTTGCAGACTACTCCACTCTGGAGGAGGAATCAATCCGGTGCCACCCTCTGTAACGCCTGTGCCCTGTTCCAGAAGATGAAGGGTCGTCCGAGGCCGATCTCACTCAAGACTAACGTTATCAAACCGCGCAACCGGATCAAGGCCATCGACAGGATGCCAGCGAATCCGGAGAACAAGAGCAGCAACACCAAGAATGGTGGCCCCAGACAGCTCGCCAGTGGGAGCGGTACCACCAATACCCCCCTCCATCCGTCCCTCTATCAGCAGCAGCAACGCCACCCACAACAAATCCACCAACAGCCAAGCAGCTCTCGTGCTCATAGCAGCCAAAACTCGCCAACCTCTCCTATCCCTCTTGCTATCCAACCTTATCGCAAGCCATCCTCCCACTATCCAGCTAGTGCAAAATTCTTGCGCCCCAATCCCCAGCCACTCTCTGTTTCATCGGCTCATAACTTGCCGGCGTCCAGCTACGGGCACTCCCAATCCGCGCCTACTGTGCCAAGTACTCTGATTAGATCAGATGCTCACTCTAGCCGCAAGAGCTTGCCGGGTGGCCCAGACCCATTCAGTCACCCCTCCTCACTCACTCACCCCTCCGCCCAGCCCAAGCGCAGGAAACACAGCTTGGCCATCGCGACGGAGAACACCTACCCAACCAGTGCTGCCCCTCTCTCCGGCTCGCCAGATCACGGCAAACGTAATCATCTCAAGCCGCTCCCCTCCGCCAATACTCTCGCTCGGCTTCCTCCCCCCAACTCCCGCTATTCACCGCCTTCCCTGCGCCACTCTAGAGTCTCTGATCATTTCCAGCTGTCTCCCACAGATGACCATGTGAATAGGAACAATGCTTTCTACCCCTCCCAATCCCAGCAGGTAAGAAGTACTCACATAAACCAATTGCAACCCGAGTTTTTTTTTTGATGTTGAATTTTCTTCGATTTTTTCACACAGGCCATGGCTGATCAAGGGACATCGACAACCGAGCGGGTTTCCGGAAGGTGTCTCTCGACGGTTGTCCTACCGCCGCTCTCGCAGCTGACGCGGCATCTGAACGAGAATGCGAAGCCGTTGGCGAGGGTTCGAACGACGGAGCTCGGGCCGCCGAAGTCGTTTGAGGAAAGTGCCCGGGAGGCCCGGCTACACTCGCCGGTGTCGCCGTACAACCACCTGCTAGCGATCCCGGCGACGGTCGAGTCCCGACGGGCGCTGTCGGTGCACTCGTCGATCTCCGACCCGGACTCTGTCCTCTCTCCGATCCGCATCGCCAGCCCGACCGTCCACAACAACAGCTCCTCGACCCCGCCCGAAAGACTGCCTCGGCACCACCTGCTCGAGACCCCCATCTCCCCCGTCTCCCATCATTGGTCTCGCGAGGCTGCTGGCCATGATGATTCTCAGGCGCCTCTCGAGGAGGTCTGTCAACTCAAGAAGCGGATCGCCGAGCTCGAGCTTCTGAACGGCAGGATGGTCAGTCGGCTCGACCAACTCGAGCGTCGTCCGACCAGCACCTCTCCCATCCCCCTCCAAGCCCTCGAGAACAATCGGCCTGAAGAGCTCGATTGCTCGGCTACCGAATCCGACAACGAAATCTCGATCAATACCACTAGCTTTGTCGATCATTGTCAGCCGGCCGACACTCATCTCGAAGAGTTTGATGAAGAGGAGGACGAAGAAGAAGAAGACATGATCGATGAAACTTATTGATCATCCCTGCGCCTTGCTCGCTATTCCTTCATCACTCTTGATTCTTTCATTCACATCCCATCCATTCTTTTTTTTTCAAATACCATCCCTTTTTCTTTACACACATATCCTCGTTCTTTTTTTTTGTGGTACTTTTTGTGTTGATATCAAGGATTGAGGAAGTCCAGATCGACGGACGAGGATAGATGGTACCGATCCGCAGAGAGATATGTCTGCGCGTGCGCGCGGAAGCCAGCCTGATCTCCTTCCCCCTGCAATAACGGTTTGGCTCCCTTGAGCCCCGCCAGGATTGGTCTGTTTCCAAGTCTGGGGGATCTGAGGGAGCCGACGGACGAGTTTTCTGTTCCAGCTTTTTTTCTTCAATGGCTCACTTTCCCAACATCTCCCACACCTCATTCGCCCATTCCTCTTTTTTTTTCTTCCTGTTCTTCGAGTGCTCTCATCAAGCGGGCTTCTTGAGACCAAACTGCACAACCCTCGCTCTTCCTCCCCCCACCCTTTTTTCTTCGTTGAATTGTATCATAACCCTCTGGCCTTCTTCGGAGTGTTCTTTCTCATCCTACACACTTACTCTTTCATCGTCGTTTTTCCAGCCTCATTCTTTGCTTATTCATTTTTTTTTTTGACATCTCTGCGCCTTGCCCTTTCTTTCTTTCTTTCTTTCTTTCTTTCTTTTGGTTTTTGGGGTTTCCTGTGCTTTCTTTTTTTTTGGGTATTTCTGGTCATCTAAATCCACCCGTTTGATCGCTTCACATCCTCATATATATATATATTATATCGAAATATTTATATACCTTTATGATCAGTCTAATACACACATCCACATCCTTCCATCTGCAATAATCCTTTTTTTTTTTTAATCATGCTCCATTTTCTTCACATTATCCATCCACCCAATCCTTTTTCCGTTTTTTCTTTTCTTTTCTTTTTTGAAGATACATACGCACAAACCACCCTCACCCAGTAAAACTCATCCATAATTAGCTCAATACATACATACATACTTAAGTAATCGTTTTCCATAATCAGTAGTCATCTTCACCACAGTCAGTTGTCAGTTTTTTTTTCCTTTTTTTTGAAATGTTAGTTATACATAAAGTCATCATCCCATGATGAGATCTTTGGGAGGCCGATAGACGGCAATCTGTCTTCCCTCTTTACTGAAGCAAGGCCAAGAAATGCGAAGCCCTTGGATTTTGTCCAGTATGTAAAGGGCGGATTATCGTCCGGAACTCGGGACTAGCGTTGTATGGTCTCCTCTCGTAGTGCTTGTCCCCCCCGAGGCATTGGCGGGCAGGCTTGATCTTCAGTCTGCTTAACTTCTCTTCACCGTCGTTCTCACTAAGCTCCACATATCAATAATGTTGCAAGGTTTGTGTTGGGGAACTGGAAATCGAGAGCTTCGAGCACACAACAAGAATCAGCAAGGCATGAATTGCTCGTAGAGAAAACGGCTGTCGGACCTCGAGCATTTTTTTGTTTTGTTTTTGTTTTTGTCTCAGTTGCTCCGCTGGATCGGGTCCTTGACCACACACCAAACATGAACCATGTCAGTGTAATGTGGGTTGAGTTGGCAGTGGTACCGTACGGAAATGAGCTGGGCGAAATCAGACTTTCCTCGACGTGATTGATGTTTCACAGGGTCCAAAAAGACTACAGCTTCCCGCAGGTTTGTGTGATGCTCCATTTGACTAGATGTACTGGCATCTTATTTCTCCTGGATCACACTGCGATAGCACAAGAATCACAAATCTGGAAAAAAAGTCATGGTGAGAGTTTCTTAGAATTAGTTACTGGGTCCAGAAAGACTACAGCTTTCCACCGGCTATGATTCTCTGCTTGAGCGGAGATTGCTCCTGGATCACACAGCCCAAGAAATACAAAGCTACATACAAGTCATGGTGAGAGCACTGTATCTATTTCCAGATACTGAATCTCTACCATGAATCAGATTTGGTTTTTGTTTTCCCAGTCTTCAAGTTTGGGGATAAATTCAAGCATGCACTCCTATCTCCCTCCCATAACAAGAAAACTTGATGAATTCCTTGGTGACTTTAATTATTGTAGATTCAGAATAACATGTCAATGGGCCTGGGTACTTCCTCATTTCTTACTTTTCTTGGGCTCTTCTGGATGGCTTGCAATGCTTCAGTGAACCCAACATGGCCAGAAACCCTTGATCTTCTTCCAAGCTCTGAGGATTACAATGCTTTTAACACCAAACATAGTCTTCATCTCAGCATAGCACCACCTCAGATGCATCATTCTGACCCAGAAACAAATTCTCAATCTTCAGCTCTAATATCACCAGGAAGGCCATCAGCTCCCAATGAATTTGCTAGAAACTTTCTGGGTGATTCTTTGGGTACCAGAGATCACCATTCTCCTATCATCTCTGACCAAGAAAAAGCTTCTACTCAAGGCCCATCTACTCTTCTATCATTATCAAGTGATTTACCAACTGATCATCTATCCACAGAAATGAACAACACTCCTGTCCAATCCAATCAGGCAATGGATACCACTAAATTAAGACCCACCCTGCAATTGTTAGACAATCATCCATCAGCCATAAACCGCGGGAAAGAATTAAGAATTGATTCTCCAGGTATCAGTGTTCAACAGCCAACCATTCATGACAATATCATTGCTGTACCATCTACAATCTTGTCATTAGGAATTCCAAGAGGTCCTGTGGAAGCTGCAGAGAAATTAATCAGCCAGACACCACCAATCAACACTCCTGAGGCACACAACAAGATTACTGTTGAAAATTCAAACTTTCATCCAAATCCCACCCATTCTTCAGAGGCTGTAGATCCCTTTGAACTTAGAGTGGGAAATCAACATGCTCAAAAATGGCCTCTTTTGAAAGAAAAAGAGAAGATGATGACTCAACCAACCTTGAATTTGCTTCCATCACCTTCAACTTCAAACTCAGAGGGACTTACACCAAGCCATAAATATTCAAAATACAATCAAATTTCAGGTAGCAACTACTCAAATCAACCAAGCAGTATCACATTGAAACATGCAGAAGCTGGCCCTAGTTCTGATCACCTCCAACTGACACCAGAGAAGAAAAGGAAAATGTCAGATTATCTTACTGGTAGCTCCCCGTACCAAAGGTCTCTGATTGAACAATCAAATCCAATTGGATACCAAAGGCTCACTATACCACTAACACAACAGGAAGATATGAAGATCACTGACATATTTGTTTTTGATGAGGAGGTGTTTAAACATAAACAATACAATTCAAAAAAATATGAAGCCAAAGTAAACAAAATCATCTCAAAAATAAGATCCCTTCATTCAGATGATCATCAGTTGAAGATTCCAAACCGGAAACCCAGGGATGTTGCACTCTTCTTTCAAAGCCTTGGAAGAAGCGGTGGTCATGATGTTCAAATGAAAATACAAATGATGAAGCATAACCCCTCACTGTCTCAAACAGAGATAATCTCTAAATTGAGACTCATTTCAAGAAATGAGAGAAGAGACCTCATCCGGACAGCCTTGGGACATCTAGAACCACACAAAACTCTCTGGTTCAGGTTTTGGAAGGAAAGGACTGGGATCAATTTTGGAAAATTGATCCCCTCTCAAGTTCCTGGATCTAACAGGCTTTCAGTAGAGTACACCGCAAGGGATCTTGCTCTACTAATCTTTCAAATTGACACGATTGGCACTGTGCTGTGTGAAAATGATTTAGCTAATCTGGAGAAGATTCAAGATTATGGGGCAAGACTTCTTCAAGAGGCTGACAGTCTCATTGGAGATCAAATCAAGTCAAATTTGATTGAAAGGAGCAGGGTAGAATATTCAAATGATAGATATAATACAATGAGGGACCCAGAAGAATCTGTCAGATGGGTTTGGTTTTGGATGAAACAGTTTCTTGCAGGATCAAAGGAAGTTCAATTGAAGAAGATTTTCTTTCAAAGAACTGAAAATCAAATCAATGAGCTCGCCAAAGGGTTCTGTACAGATGTTTTTGTCTATTTGATCGAGAATCTGAACACCAGATTAGCAAATTATTACACACAAATAGAGCTAGGGAAGGGCCCCAAAAAATTGAAATTGGCCTTATAACAAACCAATGATAATTTGGAAGGTTTGAAACAATTTCAATCACCATTCCAATCAATTTGACTTTGAAATAGAATCCACACATTTGTCAAATTTGCTCATTCCTAAATATTTAGTTCAGGCCCTTAGAATAAAACTTATTCCAAAAAAGAAGAGAAATATCCAAAGCAGACCTAGGGTATTGAAACAAAAAAACAACTTGTTGTTTCATAATTTGTTTTATTTATTTTAAGCAGGAAATCTAGTTTTTTTCATGATTAAATTCTGTCTGGATTTGTTTCCCTTGTTTTCTTACTCTCATATGTTTTTTTTCCTCCCATTGCTAGAATCTTAAGGTTGTTTATTTAATTGCAGCTTTATTGTTTTTTGGAATTTTATCTTAACTTTTTTTCAGGAATGAACTTTCTCTTGTGAAATCAGCCTCAAAGTGTCACAGGCTTGAGATCTTCTTCCTCCACTCATAATAATTATCCAAACTTTTTTCCAACAATCATCTAGAATTTGTCCAACAATCACCTAAACTTGGTCTGTCACTCAGGCTTCTATTGAATCAACTCAGAAATTCAAATAGAAATTCCACAACCTGGCTTTTGACCTACAGTTACTGCAACAATGGGCCAACCACGCTAATGGTAGTGTTAGCGCAGCGTAACATAGCAGAATTCTGCTAATATTTGGTGTAGCGTAGTGAAATTCTGCTAAAATTTAGTGTAGCACAGTTGAATTCCACCAAAATTTGGTGTACCACAGCAGAATTCCACCAAAATTTAGCTTATTGCAGCAGAACTCTGCTAACATTTAGTGCAGCACAGCAGGGTTCTTCCACAACTGCGCTAATGCTAATTAAGTGTGCAGGCCAAAAAAAGGGCAAGCTACGCTGCACTACAGTGTATTTTAGGGCTTTTTGGTCTGTTTTTGCTTCTAAAAGTGCTGTAGCACAGTGACACTAACAGCATGCTAACACTACAGGCTTGGTGCACTGTTTTGAGGGCTGCTACACCATCATTAGTGGGCTGTTTAGTGCAGTATAGCGTACCGGCCCATTTCTGGTGACTGCCTACAACAGTGTCAAAGTTTTGTGAAATGTAATGATAGGTTGGAAGCAGAAAACAGAGGGGGAAAAACACAAGGAGAAACAGGAAGCTCAAACAAGGGGGTATGTTTTTAACAATGCCTGTGTCAGCAGGGCCTGTGATCCATAGGCATGAGGCCCCATTGTGAGTAAATTTTTCTTGATCAGACATGTGCTAATATTGATCAATGATCAAGCAGAGAAATAAATGGAAATCTGATTGTAAGACATGGTGAGAGAAAATGTACTCCTGCTACACAGATATCAGATTTGTTTCACAAACTAATCATGGGTGATTATAAATTGAAGCAATTTCTCTTAGCTCCTTCCAATAGTTATAGATATAGAAAAAAATGCATGTTCATATTTCAATTTGTCTTTTCTTTTTCCTTTGGATGGGGTGTAACACTTCAGTGGACCCAAAATGGCCAGAAAAACTCAGTCTTCTTCCTAGCTCTGAGTGTGAGAATTCCCTCACAACTGAACACAATCTTCATCTCAGCCTGGTACCAACTCAATTTCATCACTCTAGCCAAAAAGATGCCACTAATCTACCATCTTTAGAACTATCCTTATCAAATCTACCATCGCCCATCAATACTGAAAGAAAGTTTATGGTTGTTGCTCCAGGTTCAAGAAACTACCAGGATTCCTACATTCCTGGCCAAGAGAAAGCTAAAAATCATTTTCCAGTCCCATCTACTGATCTATCATTAGCAAGTAGCTTTTCAATTGATGCTGCATGTACTGCAAATCACAAGAAAAATTTCCAATCTGATCAAGGAAATGGAGCCCACGCAGTTTCACCCAATGCCAAATCCATTGTAAAATTTCCAGTGCTCAGATTATTTGGAAAAGAATATATGATTGATGCAGCAGATACCATGGCTCAGCAGGAATCCATACGCTCAATGAAATATGATGATATCATTACAGTCCCACTACCACCTGAGGCACCTCTACCTTCAGGATTTCCGCAAAGGCCCTATGAAGGTGAAAGAAACACAATTACCAATGAGCCTCACAGAATGGATCAAGCCTGCCAAGATGAAGAAAATCCATCTTGGTCAGGTGCATCTGAGCAGGGACTACCAATCAGAAGCAATCATTTGGTATGTGCAAAACTTCCAGTGCAAGATTCAAGGGTTTACCCCAAACCCATCCATCACATAGAGCCTATTCCTTCTACCTGTTATCAAGAGCCCTTTCCATTTTTGGAAATTATGGCACAAGAAAAAACCTTGGAAAGTAGGCCTCTCCTAACACAGGAAGAGGCAATGGTAGGTAATCCAACCTTGAATGCTGCTACAGCAGCTTCACCGTCATCTTCAGATGCAATAGCACCTCATCAATCTGAAAAAAATCTCCACATTTCTGATCGGAACTTGCTGAAGCAACAAAGCAGCTTTTCATCTCAAGGCACATTAGCTCTTACGGCTACTGCCCAACCACATCCAGCAAACAAAAGAAAACATGTCAATCTTGTGAGTGATATTGCTCAATTCCAAGCTTCTTCAATCAAAACAGCAAACCAAAGTGATACAAAAGATGGAAAGGTGTCACTAGTGCAACCAAAATATGGCAAGCTTACAGATATATTCAAGTTTGATGATGAAATATTTCATGATAATGAATACAATGTAGAGGAAGATGAATACAAAATCAGAAAGCTTATTTCAAAAATTAGATTACTTGATTCAGATGATCATCACCTGACACTTCCAAATTGTCAGCCAAGAGAAGTCACTCGATTCCTTAACGATTATGCAAGAATTAGGGTACCTGAGGCTGAAAAGAAAGCTTTAAAACGTATAAAAACAAGCAACATTACCCCTTTGTGGAGAATACTTATCAAACCAGAACAACAAGCCACAATCAAAAGTATTTCAAAAGCAGAACGACGAGACCTACTGCGCCATGCATTGCGACAGATTGATTCAAAGAAAAAACAGTGGTTTTTATTTTGGAAGGAAAGGACTGGGCTTGACTTTGAAAGATTTATACAACCTCAAGCTTCAACATCAAATCTCACAAAAGATACCATTGAAAGAGATTTTGCTTTACTTCTGTATCATCTTGACATGATTGGTACCATACTTCAAAGATACTGCTCAGTAGGTTCAGAAAAGGCCCAGAGTTGTGGAACAAAGCTTCTTAAAGATGCATACAATTTCTTTCAAAAAGAAATGGAGAAAAATTTGTTTGCAAACGGTGTATTTGAACATTCAGATAATATATCCATCAAAACTGTAGACCCTGAGAGAGCTTCTCAGCATGTGTTTGGGAAGGGGTCAAAACTGTTCTCATTCAATCAA